AATAATAATAATAATAATAATAATAATAATAATAATAACACATTTGAGAAAAAAAAAAAGTAACAATACAATACTAAACAAATAAACATATATTACACGCGGAATATATACAAAGAAACACGCGAGGAAAATCATCATAGGAGTCAAAATAATTTCAAACAAAAACACACATTTTTCGGCGTAAGTAAATAATAACAACACGGGTCTCTTTAAAAGAAACAAAGAAAGAAAAAAAAAGAAAAAGCAAGACCATCTTTACCCCCCCCCCTCTTTTAACCCCACCCCGCTCGCCCCCGCTCGCCCCTGCTCCCTCTCCCACTCACCTTTCTCCTTTCTTTTCCTATTCACTTTATGATGATTTGTATTATTCAATGATTACTCTGTATATCTCTTTCTTGCTCTATATAACGTCTCGTCTGTATTATAATAATCTAATATTTTTGTATATCATCGGGCCTTTTTCCACCATTCAAAGCAAACCAAATGAATCTAAATGATTGTAAACAACAACACCAACAACACAACCAACAACAACAACAACACAACAAAAGAAAAAAGGAATAAGAAAAGGAAGAAAAGAAAGGTATGAGGTAAAAGAAAAGAAAAAACAAAGTAAAGAAATAAAATAACAAATGTTAAGATGGATGAGAAAAGATTAAAACAAAAAAAAAAGGAATGGTCACAAAAAAAATAATACAGGAAACTAACACATTAACCTATATTCCCGACACACACACACACACATACACATATTGCTTTTCATGGGGGGGTGGGCGTTTTGGATATGGTAACGTTCGAAAAAAAAAACAAAAAAACAAAATGAAACGATGAAGTAAACGATGATTAATAATAATAATAATAAAAAAGAATAAAAAAAAGTAAAAAACGATTTAAAAGAAAAAGAATAAGAAGAAGAAGAAGAAGAAGGAGATGAAACAAAAAAAAAACGTAAAAGAAAATAATGAAGAAGACAAAAAATGTGTGAAGAAGAAACGTTAATTGAGCATTGTTATCTATGTAATACAACATAGGATGTTTTGTATTATATTTTCATAATAAATAGAAACGTAGAAAAAAAAAAAAAAGAAAAATGAGAGAACGTATTAATCATAAATTAACCATTATGTCATTTTATCACAGTTACCTTATATCGACCTGATTTTTTTAAACAATATAACCTTAAACGTCATCTCGTCGTCTACTTCCTTATTTTTTTCTTGTTTTTTTTTTTTTTTTCAATTCTATTAATAATATATGTATATATACGTGCCGATAATTTATTAACAGTCAAAAAAATAATCAATTTTACGATTTATTATAAATAAATTATTATTATAAAATCAATTGATTCAATATTTTGTGGTTTTTGTTTTCTACTTTTGTTTCTTTCTAATTATCGGTAAGAGTGTATATTTGAAATATACATAAGAGTAGTTTTTTTTTCATTCTGCATATTATATATGTGTACATAATTTATTCATTATTTCATTATCTTACTTTCCTTTAGTAAATCATCGGAAAAATGAGGATAATTTAGAGCTTATCTATAGTTGTTTTTTCCAGTCATTGTCTAACAGCAATCGAAAATGAATCGTTCATCGTTAAACGGATTACAAGCACAAATGATTTGGAAAGAAAAGGACACGGTAAAAACGATAATGTGCTGTTAAAAAAAAAACACACACAAGTCAAAAAAACTTTATTTTTTATTTGTTTATGTGCTTAGTGTGCTTAGTGTGTGTATATGTGTGTGTATGTGCATACGTGTGTTTAAAAGGGATGAGAGGGTGATATAAGTGTTTGTGTGTACGACCCAGCACATAAATTTGCGAGAATGGTAGATTTCGAAAGATAATGTCCACATTTTGCTTCGGTCTTATCACGAAACACGATCCCTTGGCACGAAGGGACGAAGGACGTGCGTGATCGAGTAAATAGAGGGTTGCTTGTGAAAGCAATCAAATATATATATATATACAAGGTGTCACGAAAATATTACGTGGTTACATTTCTTTAATGGAATCTTCTTACGTGTACGAGATGAAGAAAAATAGCTTTTGTCAACATGAATCTGAAAGTGTTTAGTTTTCTGTTAAGGAAAAATTTCAAATATTATTTTATTTTTTTGTTTTTTGTTTTTTTGCTTTATTTCAAATGAATTAATTGTAAGCCAAATTATGTCAGAATGAGCAAACGTTTTAAATGAAATGAATTTGATTTATTTTTTATTTTTTATACGGTATTGTAATAATTATTTCATTTCTTACAATTGTTTTCAAATATTTTTTTGAATGATTTGTTTTTTTCTTTTTAAATAACGAGAATTATTAAATTATTTAAATTATTCTTAATTTTTAATTACATTTATTGACTTAAATTACTACTATGATTTGATAGTTTTTCAATAATTGTTTACTTTAAGTGAGGTTTAATGTTTAAATTATCTTTTGCCAAATTAAAACTATTTCAAAGAATCAAATTGTGGAAAACCAAATTAACAAAATTTTGTTATCAATTTAAATGTATCTACGTATTTTTCATCTTTACATTTCTCAAATTATGATTATTTTATTTGTTGAAATTTAATAGAAAAATTGGAGCAACCTTTCTGAGACAGTCGTAAATACAGCAACCATAAAAATTCAGTAGGACAAGATGTTGAGATCAGTATTTTATCAAGAAATAGACATGTTCAACATTTCATGTGATGAAAAAGTATCAACAGAGTGTAACATAAATCCTAATAGAAGTATTTTCTTGGGAAAAAAGAAGAGAAAAAAGAAATTTCAAAGATAAACTAACTCACTTCTCTATAGAAACGATATAAAAATTAATTCGTATAAATATAATTGAAAATTTCAAAATTTAGAAAATATTATTTCGTAAAACAAATCGAACAAAAAAAAATTTTAAAGCAATATTACAACAACAAAAATAATAATAATAATTTAGTTTATTTCTAGTTCTATTATAATCGTAAACATTATTTCACCATTTTCTTTTAGTCAGTTGACTCTTTATTTACACATATATTAATATTTTATGTAAATAAGTATATTTTTATGTAAATACATAAAAAAAAAAAAAAAACAGAAAACAGAAAACGCGTCGTTAAAAAGGAAATGAGTAATCTTCCATTATAATAACTTTGATAAAAATGGATACTACAGTTTTTTCTGTTTTTTTCTTTTTTTTTGAACAGATGATAAATAGGGGATACAAAAAAAATTAACATTTAAATAGCCTATCGTTTGCGTCACGTTGTTTGTCCGCAATGGACTCCTAAACTACTGAACTGATTTGAATAAAATTTAGCACACTGTGTGCAGTTTCATTCAACTTGAAAGATAGGATAGTTTATATCTCAATTTATAATAAGATTTATGATAAGATTCTAACAGATGGCGGTATAAGGTAATTCGTTGACTTAAAGACGTGTGTATCGGACTGATTGTGAGCCACAGGCAGGGCACCCCTAATATACTATATATACTATACTATATATATATATATATAGTATAATATATATATGTGTTATATATAGTCATATGTAGACGTTAGACGAGAGTCAATAATTGGCTCGACTTGCTTTGGCACGAACTCGAGTGCAATCGAAAATTCTATAGAACTGGTCACGTATCGACTCTCTTCCATTATTATAGAGAAAAAGACATAGTTGTAGTTGTTTTTTTCTTCCTTACTTTCCTACCTATCTATCTACCTACCTACCTTCCTTCTTTCCTTCCTTCCTTCCTTCCTTCCTTTCAAAAACCTTTCCTATAAACTAACAATGAAAATTACGTGCGTACGCAAGTCACGCTGACTTTTCGATATTTTTCTTCGGTTCTTTTTTATTTTTTTTTGGGGAAAGAAAAAAAATTTTTGTAAAATAAAATAAAGCGATAAAAAATAATAACGAAAAGATACATTAACAACTATCGCAAAAATTATTTTTTAAGTGGCGTTTTGACTCATTCATTTTTATGAGCATACATTACTTAACATTGTGTAAATTGTTTTTCTTTTTTTAAACATTTCTTTACAAACGAAAAAACAAAAACAAAGAAGAAAACATAAAACTATTGAAAAAATGTTGTTAAAAGTTTACAACTTTTTATTCTTTATTTTCTTTCTTTCATTTTTTTTTTAATATTTAGTGTTAATTAAAATTACATTTAAAATTATGTAACGTCGATTGAAAGTAAAAAAAAAAAAAAAAAAAAAAAGACAAAATCAACACATTATCGCATTTAATTATTAACTATGAACGAACATCAATATGTTGGTTTGGTCACTACGATTAATTAAATTTAAACAAGAAAGTATTAACGAGTTTTATATGGTAAAGAAAAAAAAAAAAAAAAGAAATGATCATTTGAAAGTGACAAATGTAGTAGTATATCGTTTCGTTTAATTAATTATTCTCATCCAAGTAGATAAAAAAAAAAAAAAGAAGAAAAAAAAGATATAAGAAACATTTTTAAACGTAAATGATATTGTTTGCAATCGCCACCTGAGTGAGTTTCATTTCTTTTCATTTATTTTGCTTCATAAATATTCGTTGTTTTAACACATTTTATAAAATGTGTACGATAATACTTGATAATATTTCTATTTTCTTTAAAATAAATACACTTATACTTACATTAGATAAAAATAACATATTCCATACTGGTTTAAAAATTATTGCGAAGAATAATTATTAATAAGATAAGATTACACATATACACATTTTTGATAATATAATCAAACTTTGTGTAAAAATATTTTTTCCGTTTCAGTTAAACAAAAAAAAAAAAGAAAAAAATGTATTTTATGTTTTCCGTTCTCTCTCTCTCTCTCTCTCTCTCTCTCTCTTTCACATCATACTCCTCACTTTACACAGCATAAAACTCACACACACTCCCCACCTTTTTACCTATCGTTAACCTCTAATTAGACCAATCTATTTGCTAAAACGGTTAATGACATATATATATGTATATATATATACATTAAAAGAAACAGATTATGTTTAGTCGTTAGTTTAATCTTAACTAGTAACGATGACAAATTTATCCTTAGTGTTGTTTTTAGTTGTACAACTATGTCTCATAAAATTGTCACTTACATTTGAATATTCGCCAATAGTACAAACTACAAAGGGACCGGTTAAAGGTCGTGTTTTTACTACAATCAGAGAATCTAAAAGGTATCATTCGTACAGAGGTATACCTTATGCTCAACCACCAACTGGTTATCTTAAATTCGCGGTAAGTTTATCGTTTTTTTTATAAAAAAAAAAAAAAGGAAGAGAAAAGTGAGCTTGAAAAGTGAGCTTTAAAATAAACAAAAAAAAAGAAGAGAAAAGAAGAAGAATTAATTTTTGTAGGCACCCAAAGAACCAAATGCGTGGAAAGATGTGTTCGATGCTAGCAAGGAAGGTAACCTTTGTCCACAAATTTTAAATAACAAATTTGTCGGTAACGAGGATTGTCTTCAACTCAACGTATATACACCTCAGGTATGAATATTTTTATTAATATTATTATATATAATATCTTGTTATTATTTGTCACGTGACGTTTGAGCGAGTTCTTTCTTTTTAATTAATTAATTCAACTGTACATCTTATTGATTGACAGAAAAAAATAAATACAATAATTCTTTAGATATAAATAATAAATTAATTAAATAATTAAGATAAATTATTGATTAATCTAAAATATAATTGTTTTTTTGTTCTTTTAACGATTAATCTCATTTATTGTCATTATTTTGCATTCTATATGTCTGAGTGATAGAAATGATTATAATAATGATTATATTTTATGACAATTCGTAATAATTGTATTTAATGTGAATATTATTAATTTGTAATAATAATAATAATAATAATAATTATTGATAAAATATAAATGTGTATAAACAAATACGATAAATAATACATTGTCGTAACATTTTATACAATTTGAAATTTTTAAATATAATATTATAATTAAAAATGAGTTGTGTGTGCATGCAATGTGCAACAAAAAGAAAAAGAGCATATGTGTGATCGGTCTATAATGCGTTAATAGGTCAAAACATTTGATATTATCTCAAAGATATTTCAACGTTTACAAAAAAAAAAAAAAAGAAAAGAAAAGAAAAGAAACAAACGTCACGTGCTATTAACTCGATTACCAAACTATAGAAAGTTAATTTTTATGAATTGTTCGTGGTAAGCAAGGATTATGCACTTCCGCAATAAACTTTTGAACCATACGTTTTATACGTTCGTTACGTAAAAGAACCTGATTAATATTTATTATTATTATTATTATTATTAATATTATTATTATACAACACGTTTAGGGTATTTTAATTCATAAAAAAGACAATTTGAAATAAGATTATTATTATTAGTATTATTTTGTAACAATTGTGTTATTTGCAGCTTCCTAAAAATGGGACAGAGCCTAAAGCTGTTCTATGTTGGATTTTTGGTGGTTCCTTCATTCGTGGACAAAATATGAAAAAATATTATTCTCCTGATTATATAATTGAAGAGGATCTCATATTAGTTTCTATTAATTATCGATTGGGTGCCCTTGGTACGTTAATTTAATATATCAAACTGATTAATGTTACCACGTTCTAAGCCCAGACCGTTTCGGTTGAATTTCTCGCCAGGCCCAAAATTCGACTGTCGGCGAACGCCCTAATGTAAAAAAGCGATAAGTAGAAATATCAATAATACGATCCGAGAGTATTATGGTTATATTATATTATTATAGTTTATTTATCAAAAATAATCTTAATATATATACATATATATAAATTAAGTGTCAATCTATTGTCATAATTGTTTAAAATTTTTTTTATACTAAATGAGAATAATTTAAATGATAAATTAATGATAAATTATGTCAAAGTGTATATTAATTGATGAAAATATTGTTGTCTATTTTAAAGTTTCAATTAATTGATTTAACATACGAGTTTCTTTTCTATATACAAATTACAATTAATTTAGAAATATTATATATATAGAAATTTGTATTAGAAATTTGTTGACCATACGGTATAATAACGACTACGAATATTACACATATAACTGCGTTGAATCTCTCATTAATTTGATGAGAACGATCGATAAACAAGGCATTTGGCAAATGGCCAACTAACTCGACCAAATTTACGTACGAGAATTATTGGCAGAGTAAATATCTTCTCCCTTTTGGTCGAATAAAAAATATCCTATGAATTATATGAATTATTTCAACGCAATATTAGAAACTTCGATTAATTATAATAATTTAAAATAAATAAAACAAAACAAAATACATATCCAATAAATTAATCAACAACAACAAAAAAGATTAAATCAAAGTATTTAACAATAATAAAAATATTTGAACGTTGTAACATGAAAACAAATTGTTAACATTAACAAATGAAAAATATAACGAATCAAATGAATAATCAATGTTATTTTAAAACAGGATTCTTATCATTGGAAAATAAAAATGCGTCGGGTAACGCTGGTCTGAAAGATCAAAGTTTAGCCCTAAAATGGGTCCAAGACAACATACACAATTTTGGTGGTGATCCAAAAAAAGTAACATTGATGGGTATTAGTGCTGGTTCTGCCAGTGTTGGTTATCAACTGCTTTCTGAAAGATCAAAAGGTAATATAATCAAATTGTCTTATTATTGTCACACAATTATCTGAAATATTTGTAAAACATTTGTAGAATAATTTTCTTTTTTCTACATTTTTTTATTTATCGACAGGTCTATTTCGTAATACAATTTCAATGAGTGGAGCACCATTATGTTTTTGGGCATTTGACAGACCAGAACAAGTGAGAAGTAAAGTTATGCAAATTGCACGAAGACTTGGTTACAATGGTACCAGAGAAAATTTATTAGAATTTTATTACAATGTAAATGTTCAAAGTCTGACCGAAGTTATTGATAATTATTCATCAGTAAGTTATTCATTTATTCGTAAACAATTATATATATATATATATTTTTATATATGAATAATTTTAAATCATAATTATTTTTTTTTTATTTTAGATCGATTTACCAATGCGACCAGTTTTAGAAGATGCTAATTACGTTCCTGATGCATTCATATCTGAGTGTTCATTGAAAAAATATATGTCTGGTAATTTTAATCATGGTCCAGTCATGATGGGTTATACCAAAAACGAAACACTTATATATTTGGCAAGTTAGTAGTTTAATTTTATTCACACACCTGATTTTTAATCATTTTTCGTTATAGAGTATACTTTTATAGGGATCATAATATGGTTTTTCTAATAATGAAAGGATTTATACATTGATTTTTTTAACATTAACATTAATTATATATTATTATTTATTAATGTTCAAATAGCAAAAAAAAGTCATCAGGAACTTATTGATAATGTTATGGCATACAGTAAAAAGCTTCAATGTATACAACATATCAGATCATTGTATTCACCTGCAGAAATTTTTAAAAACGATACTTCAAAAGATAATTACAGTACTACGACTATACAGGTAAATCTAATGAAATGATAAAAAGGTTATTTATTTAAAAACGATATTTTATTTGAAATGAAATATTTCTTAGTTTACTTCGGATGTAGCATTTATAGCACCGATAGATTATACACAAAAATTATTATCAAAATACAACGATCCTATTTATTATTATCGATATGATTTCGATTATGATAACTCTTTGCATAAAATCGATTATGGGGTGGATATAAATGGTAAGTTATCTTATATTAATTAATTATATAATATATTAATACTCATATAAATTTATATTGACAATCAAATTGACTTTTATTTAAAAACAAATGAAGATATAATATTATATTTTTGTTTTAATTATAAAAACTTCTCGAATCGATCTTTCTATGAATATTTACACGCGAATAGAAAGAAAAAAATGTCTGAAAAGTTAATAATTGAATTTATTTTGATCCTATAATATATTAATCATTGTAATCTAATATTCCATAGGTTCTGCTCATGGGGATGAAATTGTAATGATATTTTATTCGGATAGATTTAAAATAGATCCAAATGCAAATAACTCGATAACGTTGTTACAAAAACGAATGACTCGTATGTGGGCAAATATGGCTAAATATGGGTCAGTATATATATTTACACTAAAAATATATATTCATTACGTATCTCTTTTAATTACCAATTGTTTGTTGTTTTTTTTTTTTACATCACTTTCGTTTATTACTTTTTCCCTAATATTAGATTTAAACTTTTATCGTAAACTTTTGTCACGCCATTTGTGCAATTATTTTTTACGATTATGAATTTAAATTCTCTTTCATTATCATAAACATATAGAGACGTATTATATGTTAATTTTAATGTTACCAAATTGGCATTGAATCGTTAACAGTCTTAGAAATTTATTCATTCTGGCCAAATCATGCAAGGTCACCAATTATACTTTGAAAAGATTTTTTTACTTCAAACTAACTTCTCTTTCATTATCATAAATTTACAGACTTTCTAAATTTATTTTGGTATTTTATTTCGTTAAATATCAAATCAACAAATTCAAAATAATATTCTCAATCTTTGAATAAATAAATAAATAAGTAATAATAATAATAATTATAATATCGTTATTTATATTCAAACGTAAGAATTTATTTTTGGTATACATGAATAATTAATGAATTTTTTTCAGAAATCCAACTCCAAATGGAACCAATGACAATTTATTGAACATCGTTTGGCCAGATTCGAGAAAATCCGGTAAGATGTTATGGTTAAATGAAGAATTAAAAATACATGATCGATACAAGGATCCAATAATCGATATAGTTCAATTTGGTATCAAACATTTTGGTGCACAATCTAACGGATGTAATTTAAATTATACCAAAAAAGCGGTTAAAACGATACCACACAATTAATACAAATTTTATTCAAAGTACAATTGCAAAGCATGGTATATACTTTGTATTATAATGATTTATTATGTTATAAAATTTTGTGTTATTTCTTTTTGTTTTGTTCTTTTATATATTTAAGTAATAATAATTCGATGTATTGATTAAAAAGGGATTCAATAAAATAATTATGCAATGTTTATATAAAGACCGCTTCAAGGATCTTTGGATGCCCTGGCCCTGGCATGAGACACACGAAGGCCCTGTTCTCAGGGCCCTCGGAGAAGCTAGGTACCGAGTTGATCAACCTAAACCGAGCCCACAATTGAGGTTGGTTGTGGGACTGATCACTCCCCTCCTCCCTCCATCTCATAACTCAATGCGTTGGGCTCAAGGACGTCAGAAATGACGTCTTTGGGACCACCGCCAACAACTTCGACCTAGTGGGCTCAGGGGCGGCCAGACTGCTGCACTTTCCAAGGGAGTCGGGGCTACCCGCGAGATCGCTACGGTCATAGGTTTTTCCCCGCAAGGGGCCCGGGCACAATGGTCCAGAGACTGAGCGCCCGGGTAAACAAACCTCAAGGAAAAAAAAAACCCACATATGTATTTGTATATGTTTTTTTTTTTCTTTTATTCTAACTAATTGAGCAACGTCGAAATTTCTTTCAGAAGGTAATTGAACTTGACACAGAAAAAAAAATACAATAACGACAACAACAAAAACAAACCCTCAATCAGAGAGTATAACCTTTCACGAAAATTATCTAACGTAATTGAATGTATAGTGAACGTTTGAAATGTAGAAACACAGCAGAAGACCTTCTCGTTCGCCATTCTAAGTTCCACGAGTCAAACATAGTAAACTCACTCTACTCACAATCAGTATAGTAATCGAGCAACGCGCGATCGGTCAACACCACTTTCATTCTTCTATAATACACGAAATCTTTCACATTATTTATTACTATCTTATATACTCTCTCTTATTATTTACTGTATTTATTAAATGTAAGTAAATATTATTACCCTAGTAGCACATGAATACATGTGTATTTAATATTTAAAAGTTTTCATATTAAATTTACAATATTAATTATTTTATTATTAAATATTTACTCAATTTTAATATAAAAGTTTAATTTTTAAAAATACATTGAATCACTTTTTAATATTAACCAATTAAGAGTGTGACGATCTGTATACAGAGTACCCTCCGGTGTGTGTCGCGATAATCAAGCGATGACGGATATAGTCGTCAAACACGCTTAACTGTTTAAATACACATGTATTCAATATTTTGTGCTACTAAGGTAGGTATATATACTTATTATTATTATTTACATTTATCTTTCCCCCCTCCCTTTTTTATTATTTGTGTTTCTAACAAACATTTGTTAAAAGCATTACAGTAAACTCTTGAAGGAGGTGGCTCACATTAAGTTGAATTAATCGACCGTATGAATCGTAGATCTTCCTTTAGGGATACTTTCGACCACATCTTCACATCCACATTCTCATTCTCATCGTTCATCCCTCATCGTGAAAAGTCCCATGACGATATTTCTTCGAAGAAGATAACACCAAAAGAAAGGTTTGTTCTTAAACATTAATTTTCCCCCGTTGTGTGTTCGACTGTAAGATATTTCATTCATTCATTCATTCATTTTTTTTTCTTTTTCTTTTTCTTTTTCTTTTTCTTTTTCTTTTTCTTCTCTTTCTCTTTCTCTCTTTCTTTTTTTCTTTTTATATGACAGAAAAGGACACATAACTCTTTCATATCGACAGATGTAGGTAACATAAATTTTAACGATAGTATTTTACTCTGTACGTGTGTTTGTGTATACAGGTGTGGATGTGTGTTTGTTACTGTGATTAAAATATATGTTTCAAGTAAATTATAACATTCTGATTTTACTTTATTAATTAAGTGATATGAAATTTAATTTTGTTTTTTTTTTCTTCAATTTTATCGTTGCGAGTACTTAATTAGGTAAAATTAATTTAATGTGTATAAATGATAATTCATAATGTAACAGTTATTTTATTATTATTATTATTTTTAAATATACTTCATAGTTTATTTTCATTCGTTTTAATTTTTTATTTTATTTTTGACACAAACACTTCTTTATTTTACAATTCAACAACAACAACCAACAACAACAACCACCAACAACAAATATATGAATTTTAATAATATAATTATTCCAATAAATAATTATTAAAATTAATTTATCTAAATTTAAGACTGGTAGACAATCAATTCGTCTCCAAACAAGTTACGAAATAAAATCAACATTAATGAAGACGTTTCGAATCAAAAATTTATCTCACCATATTCCTCATTATCTCATTTGTCAGTTGTAAATATATATATGTGTGTATGTGTGTGTGAGTGTAGTATATCATGAGACTACTGTGACAAGAAGAACACGAGTATGTTAATATTTGTATAGCACTCTTGTCGTCAACAGAGTGTTGTTGCATTCGTTTTCTAAAAGCATTTTATTCATTCTTATTTTTCGATGTTAGTTTTCGGTTGTCTTTCGAATCGTTTCAATATTTTTAATGAGAGAAAGAGAAATTATTTTTAAAAAAAGTGAATAAGTGCGTTTCAAAAGTGTTTGTAAGATGTAAGAAAAACAATTTATTATTTATTTACATATTACCTTTTTGTCTTGAAATTAATCAACAAACGTTTGTCTAAATTATTACGTCAAGTCATAAATAACTTCCATTTTTTATGAGACTGATAAGTGCAAGACTAACCTTTAAAAGGTTCATCAAAGTTAGAAATACGTCCCTGCACTTGGTTCATCTTTTAAGATCGTATCTCCAGAACGGAATTTTACAAACCAATTTCTTATCTAATAACATCCAGAAGCATTTTGGTTCCTTGTTTATCGTTTTACTTCTATTTGTAACTTTTTAATACGGTAAATTATTATTTCATTAATTTTAATTATTCAAATAATATATTAATTTATTTATGTTAATATACAGAAAAAAAAAATAAAATAAAATTAATCAATATTATTTCTGTGATAATAGAATTTGAAGAAAAACAAGGGAAAATAAATTAAATAATTGTATTCATAGATAAGCATAAGAACAAAACATTTAAGAAAAAAAAAAAAAACTTTTCTACGAACTGAACAAAAATTAAATTCCAATAAAAGTATGATAAAACACAAATGATAAAAATAAATATATAATTACGATATTTATTATATATATATATATAAATGGAATTTTGTTAAAAAAGAAAAATTTCTTAAAAATAAATATGACGTAATATTTCGTATTGATAATGAATAAAAGGGAAAGATAAGAAAAATGAAGAAAGAAAAAAAAACTAATACAAAATTAGGTCAATTCGATTGATTAAACTAATCATCTATGAGTAAACATTTTGTTTACATATGAAAATGAACGATATTATTTAATTATATATCGTTTCATTTAAAATTCCAATTGTAAATATACGCACACACACATTTATATACTGTTATTATATTATCATAAGTATTGTGTAAAGCAATAGGCCTCTTCGTTAACAAAATGTGTTAACCATAGATTGTGGTGACAATTAAACGTCAATGTTCTTAGATAAAATGTTCCATTTATTTGTCATTCTAATCTTTCCTTAGTAAAACCACAAAGCATTAATCAGATTCATTTGTTGCTACCAACTTGAAACACTTGTAAGCAAGTTAAAGCTAAAAAAAAAATAAAAAAGTAATAAAGATAAAAATTTCAGAAAATAAAAAAGAAATAAAAGAAAAAAAAAAAAGAAGAGTTCACTGGAATTCTCCGACACGATTTATATTCCTTATTATTCATTGGACGAATCTTATCGCTTGTAGTATTCTAACATTTTCGGGAAGAATTTAATAGAAAATTTTTCTGTATCTTCAAGATAAGAAGATAAAAAACTATATTATCATTTTATTGACATTTTATTTTATTTTCTTTTTTTTTTGGAGGAGGAACAAGAAACGATTCATAACTGTATTCGAATTTTGTTCATAATAATACAAAAATCTCATTCTCGATATATATGTTTATTTATAAAAATGAAAAATGTATTATATATATATTGAAAATTAATATTTATTATTGTAAAGTAACAGTAATGAACACTACAAATCATTTGATACGAAATTAAATTTCGTATCGTTCTTTTCTTTCATTTTTTGTTGTTGTTTTTTGTTCTTTTTTTTTTTTTTTGTTTCTTATCTCTTTGTTTGTTTCATTTGTATTCTTTCGTTCTGCTATTAATAATCCACCCTTGAAAATCAACCGAGTCTTTTCTGTGGCTTTTAGCAAGAGCCAAGTCATTAACGCCTACCAAGGTGTGTGTGTGTACGTGTGTGTATCAACGAAACAAAACGGTCTGGATCGTGCACAACCAACGCTCACGAAAAAAACGAGTCCTTTTATTTCGAAACAACACGTCCCTAACTATCATCCTATACTAATACTAAAAAAGAAAACAGGGCCAATATTTCTGCCATCTACTTTCGAACAAACATTCTTTATACGCTCGAACCCATTATTAGCCTACATTGTCTCAACAATAAATTCTTTCCTTTCTATCTTTCCTACCCTTTTTATTTTCTTTTTTTCTTTTTTTGCTACTTATCAAAAAATATTTATCCTTGAACAAAAAAATTGTACGGAGAATATAATTTTTGTTCATTTTCAGCTATTTTTTATTTTTATTTTTATGTTGCAGTTCGTTCCAAAATCAAATATGGCGACAATGACAAAAGAAATGACCGTAATAAGACCGATCTATCGTCAAGACGAATTGCATCGTGTGTGCAAGTATGCGAAACCAAAGAGAAATCGTAAGTTGAATCAGTGACCTTACATTTTTAGATTGAAATATTATTGGTTTTTACTTTTCTTTATTATTTCTTTTTGTTGTTGTTGTTGTTGTTGTTGTTTTTTTAAATAGATCGATATTACAGATTTCATCTTCGCGAAAGCGAAACGAATCCTTGAAATGATCTTTGATTTCTTTTTTTTTTTTTGGATTAATCATTAAGATTTTATCTTGATACAGTTACCGAACAGATTTCCAGAAGATGGAACAATGCCAGTCCGTGGAAAATGTTGAAAAAAACAGTACCATTGATAGATTGGTTGCCAAAATATAATTGGAGGAATAATATTCTTGGTGATATAGTTGCTGGTATTACAGTAGCTGTTATGCACATACCACAAGGTATATAATTATTATTAATAATTTTGAATATTTTATTATATTATATTAATTATTATATTAAATAATATATTATTAAATTAATTATAATTAATAAATTAATTTTAATATTTAATAAAATGACACACATTATTATTATTATTAATGAATACAATTATTATATAGGAATGGCGTATGCAATACTCGGCAATGTACCATCTATAGTTGGCATTTACATGGCTTTCTTTCCAGTATTAATATATTTTTTATTCGGCACATCCAGACACAACTCAATGGGTAATTTACTTTTATTTTGATTACATCAAATTTTCAAATAAAATCTTATTTATGATTTTATTACAATTTTACGATAACATCCTTAAATTGTAGGTACATTCGCAGTAATTTGTATGATGACCGGCAAAGTGGTAGTGACGTATAGTTCGATGGAAAATACTATGAACAATAGCACACAAATCGACAGTGCGAACATAATTGGATCGAATATGATCAATCATGAGTATACACCGATACAAGTAGCTACTGTTGTAACCTTCGTCGTTGGTCTAACGCAGGTGACGTTGTTGTTAAAATTCATAATTAATGATCGATTGATTATTCGATATATAACGTGTAACTCAAGATATCTGGTCTAGTTAGGAATGTACGTATTACGATTGGGCGTTATATCTTCATTCTTGGCTGATAGCCTAATAAGTGGCTTTACAACAGCTGCTGGTTTACATGTATTCACGTCACAAGTTAAGGATCTTCTTGGTTTAACTTTAATACCACGAAGAGGTATATTTAAACTAATACTTGTAAGTATAAATTCATTTAAATATACAAAATGTCTTGTAAACGATGATACACAAGCAAGTCAAAAAATAATTCTATCTGAAAAATTTTCAATTGAAAATGTACATTCAAATTTATTTATATAAAACTTTGGTGTATTGAAAATAAATACATTTTCAAATTTGTTATTAACCACTCGTTTGAATCATCATCGATAATCATAATCTCATATAATATAAATACAGGATTTTTCACATTGATCTTATATTTAAATAAAATAATAATATTTTATATATTTTTTTTCATTTCAGACATATTTTGATATTTTTAATAATATTGATAAAGTCAATGTGGCTGCTTTGAGTTTGTCAGCCATAACGATTGTAATCTTGATATTTAATAATCAATTCTTAAAAGTAAGTATTATAATAATGTTCATTTATTATTCTTCAATTTTTTAACCTTTTTATTTTTTTTTCTTTAATTTATATGAAATTTTATTTATAATATTGATTGATACAATTTTGTATTTTGATATCCACACAACTGTGATAATTATAAATTACAAGACAATATATGATTGTCAAATATAAATTTCAAACATAAATGTGAAACATAAGAAATATCGAAAAGATTTTATCAAAAATCACATCACCAGTCATGCATGTGTCTCACAAAAAAATCTTATAAAAAAAAAAAATGATATAACATGTTTAATATTATAATAATTGACAATCATCTGTAATTTATCAACATTATAAATAAAATTCATGTAAATTATTGCTCTTTAATCAAAATGAACATTGCCTTTATTTTAATAATAAGAATATTTATTTAAAAGAAAATTAATTATCATATTTTTTAGCCAAGATTCGCTAGGATAAGTCCATTTCCAATACCAATAGAAATGTTAGTAGTAGTGGGTGGTACTTTAATATCAATGTATATGAAGTTAACAGAAGCATACAATATTAAAATAGTCGGTGATATACCAGTTGGGTAAATATACTTAATTTATTATTATAATTATAAATGAAATATATATATCAAATTTTAGAAAATGTAACGCTTTAATCTTCATAAAGTTGAAACTCTTAATTATGTTAATATCACAATCAAATATATCAATTATAGAAATATCTTATTAAACGTTAGTTTACCCCTTTCGCACGCAACGGGCGTATTTTCTACTAGGTGCTATTTCTATTGTACGAGCTACTAATACGTGCAGCAGCATCAAAATTGCACTGTATTTTTAAGTAATTTTATTGTTGATATTAAAATTATTTAAAATAATTCAAATTAATAATTATTAATAAAAATACTAAAAATCAT